ACACCACAGCCTAATGTGGGGCTGAGAAAAAGTGGCAAGTGCGTGAATTATTAGTAAATATGATCTTCCTTATTTTTAGGTTATTTATGTGAAATTTTACACTAGCAATACACAAATATTTCTGCATATTGTTAATAAAACCTTTGTCAAGTCTGTAGAGCAAAAAATTGAAAATTCTCTAAGTAAACTATATTCTTTTCTCTGGGGATACCTATTGGTGTGTATTTTCCACATCTTCACGATGTATTTAATATGTATGTGTTTTTGCTTTTTAAGAAATTTGTAGAATTTTTGTTTCTTCTACTTTACATAAATGAGATCACTTTGTTTTAAGAAATTTGTAGAATTTTTGTTTCTTCTACTTTACATAAATGAGATCACTTTGTGTCTAGTAGCCAATCCTCTTTTTAAATGTTTTATATTGCCTTTATTAAAGACACCAGCACCCAGAAAATGAGGATGGGTGTTAGATGTTGATGATAACAGTAATAGGTGTAGATAATGTTGTTTCATTTGCAGGCATTATTCTCAGTGCTTTATTAACTCCTCTAATCCTCACTATTCTATGAGGCAGGTATTATTATTGTTACTATCAATATTATTATTTTTGAGATGGAGTTTTGCTCTTGTTGCCCAGGCTGGAGTGCAGTGGTGCGATCTCAGCTCACCGCAACCTCTGCCTCCCGGACTCAGGCGATTCTCCTTCCTCAGCCTCCCGAGTATACGCATGTGCCACCACACCCGGCTGATTTTGTATTTTTAGTAGAGATGGGGTTTCTCTGTGTTGGTCAGGCTGGTCTCGAACTCCCGACCTCAGGTGATCCACCTGTCTTGGCCTCCCAAAGTGCTGGGATTACAGGCGTGAGCCACCGTGCTCAGTGAGGCAGGTATTACTATTATCTTCACTTTATAGATGAAGAAATGGAGGCAGAAAAATTAAGTTACTTGTGCCACTTTGTGCAGGAAATGGGGTAACTGAGGTCACCGCCAGGCCGTCTGGCTCTGAGGTCTGGACCACACTGTTGTGCCACTTTTGCATTTACAGGAAAGGGCTAAGCACAGGCAGAATGTGAGTGCGTTATTTGGGAATTTTAAGCAAAGCCTCATTGGTAAGTTGGCTCATTTTCTTCCCTTCTGTGGCAGTTACACAGTTTTTTATTCTTAACTCGTGGGACAAGGAAGGGTCTTTTGAAATGAAAGGATCAAATCTGAACTTTTAAATTCTAGTCTGTTTTCTCCTCTTTTCTGCTAAGAGAGTAGATTTCTAAATCAGTTCTGATTTACCCTTACAGTTTAGAGGGTACCTGACTTTCATGATACTTGGCTGTCTTCTGCCGTAATGAAGTGTCTGCCTTTAAATTTGATGTCCCTTGATCATTTTGTTTTCAAAAAAGAGATTGCTATTTTTTTAAAACCCAAAATACGTAGATCTTGGTTTTTAAATACCATTCTATAATAAAATGAGTCAGGAATCCTTGAAGAAATGATTGATTCCAAATGAGGGGAAATACAAGATGAGCCCGGAACATCTTTTAGTACCAGAAAGTGAGAGAAAGAAGAAAAACTGGAAAAAAAAAAAAAAAGGAAACAAGTCAGGGACATAGGAACCAACATGAAGGAAATCTTAAGTGATTAGAGCTGGGATGTTTGAACCACAAAATAAATACTGATTGTCATGGATTATCATCTGTGTAATAAATATGTAGATATAAATCTATACAGTAATATCCACGAGTCTCTGCTAAATTAAATAATTGAAAAACAAGCTGGAGGTTGGGCACAGTGGCTCAGGCTTATAATCCCAGCACTTTGGGAGACTAAGGCAGGTGGATCTCTTGAGTCTAGATGTTTGAGACCAACCTGGGCAGCATGATGAAACCCTGTGTCTATTAAAAATACAAAAGTTAGCCAGGCGTGGTGGCACACGCCTGTAGTCCCAGCCACTTGGGAGGCTGAGGGACGAGGATTGCTTGAGCCCAGGAAGTTGAGGCTTCAGTGAGCCGAGATTGTGCCACTGCACTCCAGCCTAGGTGACAAAGTGAGACCCTGCCTCAACAAACAAACAAACAGTGAACTGAAGAAAGAGCAGCTCTTTGGTTTTTTGTTTGTTTGTTTGTGAGATGGAGTCTCTTGTTACCCAGGCTGGAGTACAGTGGCACGATATCAGCCTACTGCAACCTCTGCCTTGCAGATTCCAGTGATTCTCCTGCTTCACCCTCCTGAGTAGCTGGGATTACAGGCACTCACCGCCACGTCCAGCTAATTTTTGTATTTTTAGTAGATATGCGGTTTCGACGTGTTGGCCAGGCTGGTCTTGAACTCCTGACCTTGAATGATCCACCCTCCTTGGCCTTTCAAAGTGCATGATTACAGGCATGCGCCACCGTGCCCGACCTATTATAGTAGAATTCTACTTAGTACATATGGAAGGAATGTTGGAAATAATTTGCCAGTAGGTACTTAGAAGTAATCATTTTTGTAGGTAAGCACTACCAATGGATGCTATGATAAAATTAGTGATAATATGAGAAACAGGGTATTTGTATAGTCTGAAAATCTCTCTCCAATTAATTATTAACTACAGAGGAAAAACTGATAGCTTCATGACAGCGAAACGTGAGAGATAACCTTGCCTGATGGTCTGCATTTACCCGGGTCCATGTTGACACTATGTAGCTTGCTACTGTGCCCCAGAAGGGCACAAGCTTGTTACTGTGTTGTTCTCGCCAGAATTGCATAACCTCAATCTAGGAATGAGGAAATACTAGACAAACCCAAATGGAAGTTTCTATAAAACAGCTGACTAGCGGGAAACAAAGACTGGCCACACTTAGAGAATGGAGGAGACCAAAGAGATGTGGCAGGTGATTGCAGGATCCTGGGCCAGGAAAAGGGCATCGGTGGTCAGACTCTTGAAGTTTCAGCAAGGTCTGTTGATTAATTAATAGTAATATATCCATGTTAGTTTCAATAATTATACAATTATGTAAAGTGTTAACATTAGGGGAAGCTGGGTAAAGGGCATATCGGAACTCTGTGTACTCATTTTGTAACCCTTTTGTTAGTGTAAAATTATTTTTAAAAAGTTTAAAAATGTAAAAGGAAAAATATAGGCCAGACATGGTGACTCGCTGCCTGTAATCCCAGCACTTTGGGGGCCAAGGCAGGTGGATTGCCTGAGTTCAGGAGTTTGAGCCCAGCCTGGGCAACATGGCAAAACCCCATCTCTACACAAAAGCCCCCCAAAAACAACTTAGCTGGGCATGGTGGTATGTACCTGGGTCCCAGCCCCTCAGAAGGCTGAGGTGGAAGGATCGCTTGAGCCCAGGAGGTGGAGGTTATAGTGAGCTGAGACTGCGCCACTGCTTTCCAGCCTGGGCAACAGAACTAGAGCCTATCTCAAAAATAAATAAATTTTAAAAAAGAAAAACAGTCTGTCTCATCTAGGGTGTAGTAGACAATGATGGTATTTCATACATTCAGTAGTCAAATCATTGATGTTTGGGCTGTAGTAGACAGTGATGCTGTTTCATACATTCAGTAGTCAAATCACTGAGGACCTGTCATGTGCTCGGTACAGTGCCAAATGTCATGGAAACCAGGTGGAAATAGAGCTCCCTGCTCTCAAGGAGCTTACAGAGGCTGAGACAATCATGCACACAGTTACCAGTTAGGTCATGTCCATAATGTGTGCAGATGAACGTTCAGTGAGTGTGTAGAACCCCTAATGTAGAAAGAACCCCCTAATGTGTCTATGGAAATTAAAAAATCTTATTTAGAGACATTTTGGATTTAAATAACTTTGTGCTCAGGTTGAATTATTTGTAGTAGATTTTGCCACTTTTGCCATTGGTCACCTGCAATGAAAAGCTTCAGGGTAGGTGGCAGAAAACAGATTTCCACAGTATCACCAGAGTCCTGCCTGTGTGGGCATCATTTGCTTCATGCAGCGTGTACTGAAATGAAATAGAAGGGAGGAAGGAAGGAAAGAGGGAAAGGAAAGAAATCTGGCCCAGCACAGTATCGGGTGCCTACTTCATTTATCGTTTGTGAACGGACCGTGGGAAGTTCATGACTCTGGAAGAAAAGGAGGGCAGTGCCGGGTGAGGGTCTGGGTTGGGAAGAACGGAAGGGAAGGTGTGTCCCCTCAGTGTGTGGGGCAGTTGTGAGCGGGAGGCTCTGTGAAGTCTCGGGACTCAGAGAGCTTTTCCTTTTTTCATTCCTGAGTGCGTAAGTCTTAGGATTTTGTGTCTGAAAGTAACTGCTGATAATTAAACCAGTGATCAGAACCTGTCTTCAGGAGCAGAATGTAAGATGTAAATAATGTTCATTTGGGATGCTTCCCAATTGTGGTCTCTCTTGGTCGCAGAAATGTGGCAGAGGGACCACAGGTTTCTGAAGACAAGATGCAGGCAGGACTTCTTCTCCTTGTGTTACAGAGCGGGGGTGAGACAGTGCTTCTATTTCAGCCACCCCCCCTTTCTCTTTCATGCCTCCTTTGTCACCAGTTCCCAGGTTATTTGATTCCAGTAGTCTTTTTTGCAGATAAATTGTTGAATAACCTCATTTCTGTGAAACTTAAGTTCCCATCTCCCTCCACGTTTCTTATTTTGTATTATCAGTGAGAGAGGAATGAGTGTATCATACTTAGGGGAGCTGAGCAGGAACTAAGCTGTTAGCCCCAAATAGAGGAATTAAAGGAGGGTGTCGACGGCTTTCCTCCCCAGAAAAGCAGGGCGGCTCCATCGCAGCAGCCCTTATTTGCCGGCCTCTAGAAACAGCCCCACTGTCGGGGGCTGCGTGGGTGCAGTTCTGTCTCCAGGCCCTTCCCTGCACCGTGTCCCACACGTGGATGTTTTGCCCTGACTTGTTTCATGATGACATCTCAGATGTGCTCATTTGGATCCAGAGGAGATAACACTGAAGCCTGGATTTTGATCATCAAGATGCTGTAGTTTGTAAAAATGTGTTGTCAAATAACTAGTGTCTCTTTGGTACAGAATTTCAGAAACTGTGGAGGAGTGTCACTGTGGATTCCATGGACGAGGAGAAAATTGAAGAATATCTGAAGCGACAGGGTATTTCTTCCATGCAGGAATCTGGACCAAAGAAAGTGGTGCGTAATCTCTAGCAAAGCAGCTTAATCCCCCGCCCTGGGAACTGTTGCCTGCTCCGCTTTCTGCCCTCTGAAGAGCCGGGAGTCGTTCCCTGCCATTGTTTTTCAGTGTGGGCAGCCCAGGTCATATCTAAGGTATTGCAGGGCTGCAGACCTGCCTTCGGTGCTGCTCCAGGCCTGTGAGTGCCTTTCCACACCCAGCTCTTCCCAAGCAGTCCTGCTCTTGAGGTCCAGCCATGTGGAACCTTCCAGGGCCTGCGTGTTCCCCACCCTCTGACTCTAAGCTGCTACAGGCCCTTCTTCTCATTCTTAAAGGGAGGCTGCGCCTTGATCTGCACAACCTTTCAGACTTGAACGGGGGGCCCTCCCCTGCTCTGTGAGCCTCGCCGTCCTGGTGCCTGGTTCTGCCGTTGTGACTTTCAGGTCCCTTAGGAAGCAGATATTTTGTCTGTATAGTTTCTAAATCCTGCGCTCAGGGGATGTTAGTCATTAAATGATGACTTTTACATTGTCTTGTACCAGCAAATAAAATCTGTAGTCCAAGAACAAAGCCCAGGGGGATGATTCGCCAGCACCCTTGTTAGCAGCGCTGTGCCCCTCCCCGCTTTCCTTGTCCACTGTCATGCTTTGTAGCTTGTCACCTGTGTCTTTCTGGGGTGTGGGGTGGGGATGTGTGTTCGGTGAATTTTTAGGACTCACCAAAAGGGAAGCTTTACTGTCAATCTCTTTCCACAAATGAGTGTAATTGTAGCCCTTCATGATTTCCTATTATTGTCTCATTTGTTGATTTTTTTCATCATGTGATGCTAATATTTGAAATATATAGAAAAGAATAAGAGAATATTACAAACCTTCATGTGCCTCTCCTTTCTCAGGATTTTGCCATGTTTTCTTCAGATCTTTTTAAAATCGGTAATGGTGGATACGTTTTTAAACCTGATGACAGAGACAGCTGAAGGGCTTCACCGCCCCTTTTGTTTGACTTAGTGCCTAGAATCGTTTTGATAGGTTTTTGTGCCTGCTCCTTCATTTCCGATGGCGTCTGCATCTCAGGGGAACAGAGGCCCGGGGTCTGGTCAGGGCGTGTGCTGTGCCCTGTGTGTGCTGCTGGGCGGCAGAGCAGGAGCAGGGTCCAGACCCGGCATCCTCAGCCGCTGGCATCTGGTCATGCTCAGAATATCCTGACCACACCACCCCTCGGAGCAGCTGTGGTTTCTAACTGTTTTTACCTTTTCCTTTAGGCCCCTATTCAGAGAAGGAAAAAGCCTGCTTCACAGAAAAAGCGACGCTTTAAGACTCATAACGAACACTTGGCTGGAGTGCTGAAGGATTACTCTGACATTACTTCCGGCAAATAGGGAACAGCTTTGTCCTGGAACAGAGTCACAGATACGCAATCAAGAGCGTTCCTGCTGATGCTTGGGGTCTGAAGACTGTCTTCCCATCTGCTGCCTGCGGCTGCGGAGAGGAGCAGTTCAGTTTACAGAACAAGTGCAAATTACCAAACTCAAAGCTTATTTGAGTAGAATGGGCTCATGGGCAATGTGACGTTCCCTGTTAACCTGTTACTCCCTGGGAGAAAGGCGCTGTGTGTGGCATGCAGGTGTCTTTGCTGTATTTTTCTTCCCTTCTAAATGGTTCCTGGTTCCTTTCTTCCTCGTTTGTTACTTTAGAGCAAGTTTGCCCATAGTCTTGAATGCAGTATTTGTTTATTCCAAAATAACATATTTATAATAAAATCATTGTAGAAGGATTTTTAAGATGTTAGTGAATTCTGTTTCTTTTCATTCTTGGAAATGGCAGGAAGCAGCTCCGGTCTCTGATTGCCACAGGTCCCGTGCTGGGGATGTGATGAAGCCTGCAGCCTGCACTGTGTTGCTGAGTACACGGATTTCACCACTGGAACACAGGTGTGCCGCTTGTTAGCAAGCTGAGCAATAAAGAGGTGCTGGATGTCACTGTTAATGTTTTCTTTTAAAAAGAAGCATCAGTGTCAGCCGGGCAAGCTGGTTCACGCCTGTAATCCCAGCACTTTGGGAGGCTGAGGCAGGCGGATCATGAGGTTAAGAGATTGAGACCATCCTGGCCAACATGGTGAAACCCCGTCTCTACTAAAAATATAAAAATTAGCTGGGTGTGGTGGCACACGCCTGTAGTCCCAGCTACTTGGGAGGTTGAGGCAGGAGAATCACTTGAACCCGGGAGGTGGAGGTTGCAGTGAGCTGAGATGGTGCCACTGCACTCCAGCCTGGGGGACAGAACGAGACTCTGTCTCAAAAAAAAAAAAAAAAAAAAAAAAAAGCATCAGTGTTCAGCTTCTTGGGTTGGTAAATTCCAGGATGGCAAGCCTGGGTAGAGTCTCCTTGCCAACCTAAACGTCAGCTATACCACGTCCCCACCTTCATGTGGCCTGACCCGAGGTTCTTCTGGTGGAGATGCCCTCTGTCACTGGCCCAGCTCATGAGAGCCATTATCAAATATGTGAGCGTTCTTTAAAGGAGTGAGGGTGACTCACAGGAAATTCACGTGGTTCCTGCTTTCCACGGCGAAGTTCGCATTTTCCTCACCTGCACTCTTTATGTTCTGCTGTGGTCCTTTGCGCTGGTGGTCATGGTCCTCCTGTCACAGCATGGGACAGTAGTGGATCAGGAAACGAGGTGGTGGTTCTCAGAAAAGGCATGATGGAAACCCAGAGCAGGAAGTGCTTTGTGCAGATGACAAGGAGCCTTTTTGCTTTTTCAGTTGGTTTCTCTTTTCTACTTACCTTTCATCCCTTTACAGCGTCATCTGTTTACTTTACCTCTTTCTCACCTCCAAGCTCGAAAACGTGGCAGGAGAGGATGTAACTGAGGTTCCCACGATAATTTAGAACACAGGAAATACAGCCTGTCTTGCTTTGTATCAGGTTTTTTCTGGTAAGGAAGAGCTTTAATATCTTATGGCATGAAACTAGCTTTCCTGTGAAAAATCTAGAGTTAGCTCATCTCCAGGTAGGTACCTACTTTTGTGATCTCCACACTCCATCTCATTTTATGGGCCAGGTCTGGAAGTGCAGTTTGGACATCTCACCTGCTTTGCAGGGAGATGGGCCTCGGGGCCTCCCTCTCTGTGGTAAGGCGCTTACTCCCAGTTGTGTACTGGTTGTGACTTCTAGCAATGCTTGTGCTCAGCTGTACTTCGTGGGCTGGCCTGATAATTGATGTCAGTTATTTTGTCTAAAACTCATTTCAGAAATGAAGATCTAGCAAAATGAAGTGACTCACTGAATTGCTGTGCTCACAAAATTCCGTAGCTTTATCTCATTCACTTAGTTTCTTTTATTAAGCTTCGATCCACTTTGTCTACTAATGGAAGAGCAAATCCTCCGTGTACCCCATCTCAAGGTACTGGGGTTGCATCCTCTGGTGACGTGTTGAGGAGGATACAGTGTTTGTGGGAACACTGATGGAAGTTTAGTTGTGTTGGACGGTCATATTACAGGCACACCTCATTTTATTGTGCTTTGCCTTATATGTCTTCACGGATACTATGGAGTTTCTTTTCCAAATTGAAGGTTTGTGGGAACCCGCTTCAAGCAGATCTGTTGGTGCCGTTTTTCCAACAGCATGTGCTCACTTTGTCGGCATTTTTTAAAGCAATAATACATTTTAAAATTAAAGTATATAATTGAGTTCTTTAAGACATAATGCTATTGCTCACTTTCTACTAGCATGTAGCATAAACATTTTAATATGCACTGGGAAACCAACACATTTGTGTGACCCAGTTTACTGTGATGTTTGCTTTATTGCGATGGCCTGGAACCAAGTCTGCAGCATCTCCGAGGGATGCTGTACAGAGAAAGCTGTCTCTTCGCAGTTCTTCTGGGTGTCTGAAAACATATCCACCAGAAACACCAAGTTGAAGTCGTGTTCTCCCCTCTGCCTGTTTCTGCTGGCTCTGCTGTCCATTTAGAAGCACGTGGGAATGGCACGGCTGGGTGAGTTAAGAGGGTATGACAGTCGGGAGTGCATTTGATCTATAATTCATCGCCATGATGTGAGGCTTTTAGGAGATAGCTAAGAGAAATGTAGTCAAGCCTGGACAGAGTGTAAAAAACGAACATTTGGCTGCTGCTGTCACAGCCTGTAAATGTGGCCGGATGATGGTGGGACCCGGGGGACAGAGTGGCACTTGACGCCTGTTGAGCAGAGGCTTAGTGGGAAGGCGGCGGGGGGCATCCCATCCTCCCAGCCCCAGCGTTCAAGGGACTGCGAGTGGACAGCCCCAGCTTCATCTGTGAGCTGTTGGAAATCTCTAGCAGCAGAATGGGATTCTGAGTGGGGACGGTTTTGTAGGACGAGGGTATTTGGTTTATCAGTTCCCGGATTCTTAGTTAATAGTGATTTTCTGAGGCATAGAAGATGAGACTGATTTAGGCAGGACCAGCTCTAGAAGCGCCGAGAGCAGGTTTGTCTCCCGGGTGGTGACTGTGAGGTTTTGAAGTGCCTGCCAAGCCCCCATGCCAAGGCCTGTGTTCTGGTTTTAAGAAAAAAGCACTCTTTGGCCAGGCAAATCTTTTATTTACAAACTCGTGCATCATTTCTCATTGCATTTAGGCCTTCCTTTTTGCTCAGAAGTTTGGGTTGACTTTAAGCATTTGGCCCGAGTTCCTAACTTGGAATTAACGACCATGGGCAGAGTTCCACAAGAATTTCTCAGCTGGACAAGTGGAACACAAGGACCCGAATTTTCTCTTCCCCTCAGATCGTCCATAGGTGAGATATATGTGAACAGTGGAGAATGGAAGGCCTCACTGTTTTGTTTATATTTACCAGCAAATTATTACGGTTTGTAGCAAGAGCTGCCTCCTCCCCCACCCCCCAAGTAGGAATGAATGTGGTTTGAACTGAGGGTCAGGAAGAGGAAAGTGTCAGGTTCGTTGGAGAGCTGCAGAGGGGCCTAGTTCTCACAGTGCACTGGCACCTCTCAGGACTGGGTAGCTACAGAACCAGGCCAGTTCATACAAGAGTTAATATTAGTTCCATCTGGGATGTTCTGCAGCAAGGACACACAGCTTTACAGTGGCAGTTACTGAAATTTCCTAGTTTAGGGCTCTTGATCAAATTGCTGACAACATAGTTTTTCAGTATCATAGTTATTAGAGTTTTAGGAGAGGCAGTTTTTGAGGATGAGTGTTTTAGATAACACCTCGCTGGTAATGAATATTCTTTGGTTTTCTATGCAGGCTGTAAAGTTGTTTTATGCCATGAGGGTGTGGAGAGAATGGTTTAAGAATTGGAGAGGAGAGCAACTGTGTGCCAGAACCTTCCAACTGGGTGGGTGAGAGTGCTCTTGGGAACCTGTCCATATTCTTAGCACACATCATGTCTTGCCCAAAGTGCTCAGAAACAACTAGTTGAAGTTGGGCACGGTGGCACGTGCCTATAGTCCCAGCTACTCAGGAGGCTGAGGCGGGAGGATGGCTTGAGTCCAGAAGTTTGAGGCTGCAAGTGAGCTATGAATCTGCCACTGCACTCCAGTCTGGGCAACATAGTGAGACCCTGTCGCTTAAAAAAAAAAACTTCTTTATGTCACCTTGACAGACACCAAGGATTCTTGTCTATTGGAACACAGAATTCAGGGGAGGGATGGGGCAGTAACAATTGCAAGTTAGTCCATGAAAGTAGGGCGGACACACACACACGCCCTGGGTCCAGGTGAGTCTGAAGCCCAGGTGTGATTAATTGGCAATATAATGTTCATTTTGTGAACTAAGATTCTTTTCAAATTCCTTTGTCATTTTGTTATAGACATGGAAAGCATGGTATTTAATTTCAGATGCGACTTTTATAGTTATATCAGTTCGACATTAACAAGGAAGGGTTCATTTGGTAATCACACAAAAAGATGGGCTTAGTTACCATCTTTCTGGAGCCTACAAATTGGGACATTTTGCATGGGAGCAAGAGGCAACAGCGTGCCTTTTTCTTATTCCAAGTTCTTGATTCCAAAAGACATACTGCATTCATTCCTGTTCAGTAGTGACAAAAAGGATAACTTTGCACAGACCCTAATGAAGCTGGTATTTGGTGAGTGGAAATGTATTTGGAGGTCACACTAGGTTAGTAAATGCCATCCAGACTTGTCACTTGCACATCACGAAATGACTGTCATCAGCATGGGGAAGATCGGAGCGCTCATCCATCCCAAGGCCTCCTGTAAAAAATCATAGGTGACTGTGTTCAGCCAGTGACTGGCTGGGATGGAGTCCGGGCAGTCCCGAGGCAGCAGAGCCCCTTAAGAGCTCACTAGCCTCTATTCCTTAGCTGTTTGGCCAATCTCTGGCGCCTGAGTTGGAGCTCACAGGTGGACCAAAGGCAGATCAGGCCGGCCTGAAAGCCATGCTGGCGTGGCCTTCTAAGTCTGGGCCCAGGAAAGCTTTTGGCCTTCTAGTTACACGAGTTGAAAGGCAGTGGACACAGCCTGCATGTGGTGGCTAGGCCACTCTGCAGGCAGGCTGTGAGAGCCTAACTGCGAGTCATCTCAGCGCCCAGCAAGACGCAGTAGTGGTTGTTGCCACTGCTTGGATGTAAGCACTATTTTTTTGCTTTCTCCTTTTGAGGGAAAAAGAGTAGGTGAGAGTGTATATAAAACACAATTGTCTTGGCAATTGGTGCCTGGTTTTCCACTTTTTTTTTTTTTTTTTAAAATATGGTTTTAGAGACAGCGTCTTGGCCTGCTGCCAAGGCTTGAGTGCAGTGGAACAGTCATGGCTCACTGCAGCCTCGACCTCTTGGGCTCAAGCTGTCCTTCCTTCTCGGTCTCCTGAGTAGCTAGGACCACAGGTCCTAGTGCACCTGGCTAATGTTAAAATTGTAGAAACAGGGTCTTGCTACATTGTCCAGGCTGGTCTCAAAACTCCTGGGATCAAGCAAGCCTCCTGCCTCAGTTTCCCAGTGTTGGCATTACAGGTGTGAGCCACCATGCCTGGCGTAAGATATATTTAAGTCAGCAGAATGCCTAAGTGACATTTTAATATAACTCAGAAAATCCTGAGTCAAGCTTTGTAGGCTGAGGTAGGTCCCTCTGCCTCTGGTGTCCTTGTAGCTCACCAGCCGCTGTGGTCGTGCCTTTGCAGGCTTATTCTCTGGCTGTCCCTGGTGTCTGCTTCCTCCTTTAATCTCTTTGTGCCTAAGCTCAATGGCCAATGCTTAGCTCTGCCGAAGCCTGAAAATGGGAAGGAAATCTGCTGGCTTCTTGTCTGCAGTGTGGGATACATGTAGTTGGTCTTGCTAAAAAAGAATTTGTCAAGCAATGGTGTGAGAGCTGGAATAAACACTTTATTATTTTTTAAAAATGACAATAGAAAAGTACCTTTAAACAGTTATGAAAGCAGAAGAGACTGTGCAGAAGCAGCTGTCTGCCGTAGAGGAGCACAGGCATCTCACCAAGACCAAGTGGCACTGAGGGCATAAGCAGGTCCTTGAACACCAAAGTGGATCCGTCACAAGTCCCCGAGCTAACTGCCCTTTCCCCTTATTTACGCTAAGAGCGAGCCCTTCACTCCTGGGCTTGGTTTTTTTGTGGTGACCTTTAAAAGCTTCTTGACATCTTTATTTCCAATGGAAAATAACAAAACAAAAACCCAAACCAACCAGGTAATCATGACATTGAAATTTTCAACATAAGCCGAGCAGATCAATAGGAGAGACTGTGATTGTGTTTGGCAGCTGAATTTAGGTCAATGTGATTTTACAAATGGCTTCTGCACAAGGGGAGAGGTTGAGCTGTCATGAACTCTGGAGATGTGTCAACTGACAACACCAGACTGACTTTGGCTTTGACGAAGTCTGAACAGAACTGGTTCCAAATGCCCACTGCGTCCGTCTCCTGTGCGGTGTGGCATCTCGTCTCACAGTGAGCAGACGCCATTTGGGAGCTCATGGGATGTGGTCGGTTTGGCCTAGTGCCGCAAGAGTTGGGGATACCAGCTCAATTCAGCCAATGTTTTGCAAACATCACTTTGGAGATAGAGACATGAGCTGCCCACTGCAGCCAAGTGGGTTGGGCATAGCCAGCCCCTTCATGGGCCAGGGCTGGCCTCCCAAGCCAAGGTTTTCCGTTACCAGTGAGGCAGGCTCTGCACTTCCACTGGGGGAGAGGGATGCGGGGCTGGCTTGTGGAAGGCGGGTTAAGCATCGAGTGGCTACACGTACAGGAGAGTGGAAACATAAAACTGTACAAACTCACACTTGGCACACAGTTGATACAGTCACAGCCGGAGCTGCCAGGGCTTTCTAAGGGCACACTCCGCAGTTCTTACCAACGATGTTTTCTTGCCCAGTTGTGAATAAGCCATAGGTAGAAGCTCCTGGAGGCTTCTGGTTGATTGTCTTGCAGGGCTGTCCTACTAGAACTGGGATCCTAGACCTAACACTGCAGATAACAGTTCTGTTTCTAACACCTACCACCACGCTACTAATTTACCCTGGACTTCGGCCAGGCACAGATTTCTATATATTCACAATACAATTCAGGAAATGTTGATATTTGGAAACATGCCTCAAACATGCAACTTACTTCAGAGGAAAAAAATAGATATTTTTAATTACAAGCATTCAAAAGTCAAGCACAAAAACTGTGATCCAACCCAGTGTAAGATTGTCCATCCCAGCATACTTAAAATGTTTGGTATAAAAATACTCACTTTTCTTGGTTTTATTGTTGACTTCTCTTACGTTTCGTTTGAAAATATCTCCAAACTGTACAGAAATTTCAGACCATGCATTCACAAATAACACACTATTTCTTATAATTATACAGTGTAAAAGAGTAAAACATTTTTATTATATTTTTTCTTCGAGAAAAACAGATGTGTGATAGAGGCTGTGGCAAAGTCTTGAAGGGATCAAAACTGGGCAAGGTTTTTTCAAGCCTGAAACAGAAAGAAAACATGTTAGGAGAGCAGGTGTCAACCGCTCCCTGGTTGTGATGGCTTCGTCCTGGAGATGCTGTGGATGGGAGAACGATGGCTTAGATGACAGTGTGCAGACGTGTGTATACAACATATTTACTGACCACACACACACGTGTCAGTGGTCTCACCTTGATGAGATACATGGGGCAAGTCCTTGACTCCCACTCACAGAGCCCGACCCTGGCCCAGAGGTTTTCTTGAAACACATCTCAGCTATATTGTATTATTCGGTCACTCCTTTTCCTGCCATCTTACCAGCATGTCTCAAACGTTTCAGAAGTTGTAGAAAAGGTGTATGCAGAAGGCAATCAGCTCAGCATATGCTAGAATTTTATACAGGGAGATGCTTATTTGTGTGCGGAAAGAGGCTATAAAGAAAACAGATAATTACTGATAACCTATCTAAGTGTCCCAAGTTAGATTTTGTCCCAAGTTAGATTTGGGAAAATGTGTTTAAAGTCCTGAAATAATAATTAGGTGACCACTGAAACACAGTGTACGGGATGAGCTTGTAAATGTTCCTTTCTATACAAACCAAACCTGTCCAGCTTGGATCTGACCTGTGACCCAATACACCTTTTTCACTTCCCAGTTTTTGGACGACAGTACGAGTGGATAGCGGTAGTAACGGCCAGCGGAGCAGGGGCAGGCCAGGCAGAGCTTGCCACAGCGGGCCATGGATACTCCAGACCTCTGTGACGGGAAGCTGATACTTGCCTGTCTCTCTTCGGGTTGTGGCAAATAATACAGTTCTAGCACATCCGCTTAAGTGTGCTTACTGTAGACAGCCCTCAAGGCAGCCCAATCCAGACTCATCCCTGTGCACCCCTGCCCTGTCTCTGCCCTGTTACACCGACCTCCTCTCCTGTCCTCTCGGCTCATCTGCTCCTTCCACTCCACCATCTTAGGGCCGCTGGCGCGGATGTGTGCTTCTACCTTGAATCTTCATCCACTTTGCTTCAGGCAGCAAGACAACATTCCTAAATCACTCTCCACCTCTGCTTATCTTTCCAATGGCTTCCAAATCCCTAACACATCCTTCAAGGCCTTCAAAAGCCTGGCCGCAGGCTACTTTCAGCAAGAGCGTGCTGTGCCTCTTCTTACTTCCTCTCTTCTGTTCTAGTCCCCTCAGCACATACAGGCCCCACTGTCTTTCAGAACTCACGCCTCCAATCTCTCTGGCCTAAGGGCTTCCTCCTCTAAGCTCCTCGCAGGGGTTCTCACTGACCAGGGCACTTTGGCTTCCACAGGGATGATCCTGCATTATTTTCCTGACACCCTCTCCTCCTCCTGAAACTCCAGACACAGTCACTTGCAGGTGGCCCAAATGCAAACCCTCCAAACACTTAGACTGTAGGACACACAAAACAGGAGTGATGGGTCATTTATGGCATGTGGCACCGAGACACGGGCCCCTGGGGTTGACGACATCTGGCCTGGGAGCAGGACACTAAGGGTGAGGACCCACTTTGGGTTCTGCACACCAGCCCAGAGGCACCCTGAGCCCTCCCTGGGTAGGCATGGCCCTGATGAGGGGGATGTGGCGCCTCCAGCTTTCATGGGTAATGAGCCACGCGGCTGCGGAATGGCTGCCTAGGAGGGCTAATCTGAAGGGAAAAGGAACATGGGCAGGAGGAGGGCGGGAGCAAGTCTAGTTTTCTGGCCCTTCCATAACTGCTGTGTAAATGAGATCCTCGTATGGGAAAGGAATGTAGTCACACTACCACAGATGATCCCAGACTGAACAGAAGGTCAGAATGTGGCTATTTCAGTCCCTGTAAACAAGGAAGAGGTTTAGCTAGGAGCGGAGTTCAAACCTTGGAATGTCTTAACAAGGACATTTTAAACAGAATCCAAAGACATCCCGGAACACAGCCCCGCGGAGGGATGCGGGGTCAGGGTTGGGAACACATAAGGCTCTGATTAGGAGCAGGTTCTTCTTGCGGGGTCTTCCTGGAAGGGGCCGACTATGACACACAGGTGATGGGATGTCAAGACAGGAAGCAAATCTCCTTATCTCAGGTAAGTGGAAACAGTCCCAGTTTGAAGACACTGAAGAATGTCTCCTGGTCTCTTAAGGAATATTACACAATTCTAAAACACTGCATTTCGGGTCTCTGGTGGAACTCAGAACGCAAGGGCAGATGGGCCTGGGGTCAGGATGCTCGCTACCTGCCCCTCACTCTGCGGTCTCTTCGCACCCAGTCAGGGTCTCGGTCCAGTGCCTTAGGAGATTGTTCTCCCAGAGGAAAGACTCCCTTGATCCATCTGTGGCTCCTTGACCTGATTCCTGAGGATCCTTCCCCAAGAGTTTCCAACGATTCCTCATTACCAAGTCAGATAAGGAATATTCTCCCCCAACTCCAAAGAAACGTGGACTATCATGTGGCAAAGGTTCCTAGTTAATAGCTTCAGTTTTCATTTAATACCTGTCAGCTTCATCTTCAAAAACATCAGGCACTGATAAAATTTGTAATAGAGATTTCAAACATGTCACTGAAAAAGTTCACGCTCTCTGAAGCCTCCAAGGGCCCAGTGTTCTGCAGTTTGGAGCTCCACTCCAGCCCTGGGGGCCCATGGAGAGTGGCCCATCTCTGCTCTACAAGGGTAGGTCACATAAGCAGTGTTGTCTGACCTCAAATTTGGGAAGAGAAAAGCCCCCTCCAAACTTGCCCCTGTATCCCAGGGAAGGCCCCAAGAAATGGTGAGCCCCACCTTAACACACGGTGCTGAGAAGGCCACAGCGCCCCTCCGCGCTGGCTGTCGCCGCGCTCTCGGGCACATCCGGGGCATCTGCAACCTGACCCTCAGCTGCCCCAGGACTGTGACCCAGACCTGCCCTCCGTCACTAGACCCTTCCATGGCCTGCCAGGAAAGCTCCCCTGCTCCTTGCATTGTTGATACTTTGGTTGACTTGCTGCATTTAAAAATCATGACGTTGGCCGGGCATGGTGGCTCACGCCTTAATCCCAGCACTTTGGGAGGCCGAGACGGGCGGATCATGAGGTCAGGAGATCGAGAGCATCCTGGCTAACACGGTAAAACCCTGTCTCTACTAAAAATACAAGAAATTAGCCGGGTGCGGTGGCGGGCGCCTGTAGTCCCAGCTGCACGGGAGGCTGAGGCAGGAGAATGGCGTGAACCCGGGAGGCGGAGCTTGCAGTGAGCCAACATAGCGCCACTGCACCCCAGCCTGGATGACAGAGCGACACTCCGTCTCAAAAAAAAAAAAAAAAATCATGACGTCTAGCCAGCATTCAAAACTTGTGTAAGTGGAAAAAAATGTGTAAGTGGCTTAAATGATTTTTAAATATCCCCAGGAGGAAGAACAAAATCATGTCTTTTAAAAACGTTTGCGTGAGTGATGACTGTTAAGAGCCATGACAAAAGGAAGAGCTAACGCTAGAAGGCCGTGGGCCTAGTGGGATAGACCCAGCTGCCGTATGTGATGTGAAAAAAGCTTGGGTTAGTGCAAGAAACAGGCGCCCTGGGAAAAATGCCCCAAGTGCAGGGTCCAGCTCCCTGTCGGAAAGCTGCCTGGGGTGGTGGGAGGCAGGCTCCCCAGCGGAGCACACACCTAATGCCTGCTCCTGGGTGGGCACTGAGAGGTACCGTCAGAGTATGAAGTGACTTAAGCCCCTCAAATGCGGTCCCACCTCCCTGGCCAGAACTGCTTGGTTCTCTGTCCGTAGCAGGAATCTTGTTCCTTTCGGATCCATCTTTTTTTACAGGCCCCTCAGAGGGATGCTGCCTGCCGCTTTATTTAGGCTGAGACATAAACCGCCACAGACTTGCCCCTGGCGTTCCTGCCGCTCTAAGCCAGGCTTTCCAGAGACCCAGCAGCAAGGTCACCTCTGGAGATGCTACATGAGGATTTTTTTTAGACTACATTTCTGCTAGTAGCTAACGAACTGAGGAGTGACAGGTGATACCGACTGAAAAGACAGATCACCAAAAAATCATGACCTACTAAAAGGCCCACAGTCTGGAGAAATTCACTGAGTTCTATGATTCAGTCATGCCCAAGGGTAATTATCCTGTGTCCCCAAGTCATCAAGAAATGGCTGATCACACTCAGTATAACTGGATTAATAAGATGGGGGGATATACACATTACATCTGAAACAATTTCCAACAAAATGATTAATTTCCCCCAAAAAAGGTGACACTTAAAGGGAAAAGCTTCATTTCAGTAACATTTCCTTAGGTGGAATCCCTCACTCCAGGTGCTGCCGGATAGCCACATGTTCATGGTACCCAAATACTGGGGTGATGCGCTTTAAAAACGTATTAGTTGCTGTCCTGGGATGACCTTCCCTCGGCAGGCCGTGTTGGAGCAGATGTTAAAGAGCTCCGGGCAGAATCACCCGGGGTGGAGGGGCACGAGCACCTGGAATGCCAGACCCCACCCCCAGAGGCCCACAGTTCCCATGTGTTCACACTGGCCAACACCGCCGTGCCCCACCCAGGCCATGCCGCCCCTCTGAGGGCTGGTTTAGCCCTGACTCTGTTACTCACCAGCATGCTCCAGTTTTGTAGAACAGCTAGAGAACAGTAGCCACCACTGAAGATTGCATTAATACCCACAAGACAGATTGCAGCCGCCATCACACAACTGGGACCTGGGATGGAGAAAGATCACCTGTTAACGGTGCACAGTCAACTCCACTTGGGGCTGCCTTGGTCTTGAACACCGGCCTGTTCTGAGGGCAGAGAGCCGAGAGGCAACGACAAAAGAGATCAAAGGCCTCTGCTGCTGAGCTGAGGACGAGAGGCTGCTGCAGGATGGCCTTGGATATGCGACATGAAAAGCTCTCAGCCAGGAAAACACACTGAGGAGTTGGTGGAGCAAGTGAGAGGAGACTCCTGGGGGCCAGCAAGGAAGGATATTCCAAGAAAAGCATGTGAACTCTTCACTGAGGGTGCACTAGGAAGCTGCGGGCCCAGCAAGCAGGACTCTGCACCCACGTCTCTGTGGTTGCATCCCAAGGGCTGTGGCCTAGACCCCGAGGACCGTCCAAAAGCCCTGCAGGGGAAAGGCATGGGACCTGAGGCCCCCACACAGCAAGATCCACAAACAACTGCCTCCAGGAGGCTTTGAAACACAGCAGCTTTGGTCAGCCCAAGGCCATAAGAAATCCCTGTCTGTCACAGGCACCAAGGACTAAACTTTGCTCCAAGCACCTCCTGGAAAACAAAAACTAAAAGGATGCACATTTGTGAACCCATCTGGCTACTCCCTAGGGTCTAAGAATTTTGAAATACAAAGGTGCAAAGACCCAGCAAAGAATCGGTTGCTAATATTCCCCCTGTAGGCACAGCTGTCCCCGAGCCGGCTGGTTACAGCAAGGATTCCACCAGGGAAGGAAGCCCAATTCCCTGCATGTGGACACCAGCGGTCTATTTGCCACTAGCGTTTCTCAGATCTCCCTTACTGCAGACAGACCGTGTCCAGTACGCGAGGCTTTGAGAACTGGAGCGCATAACACACTGCTGCGCACTGTCCGGGTTCCCCAGAAAGGTGGCACTGGCTCTGCTGGCACCTCCAAGTGGCCCCACCAGGACTCTTCAGGGGGAGGGGACTGCCTGTGCTGAAACCCAGCTCTGGAATCAAGGGTGAGCCTGAAGACTACCTCCCTAGGACATCTCTCTCCTCAGATTCAAGGAAGAAAATATTTTCCCCAGAGCTTCACTATACAACATGAGATGTGATTCCAGTTTCCTAGTAAAAGCTGGGTTATGAGAACAGGAAAATAATTATCTTTGCACATGAAACCTATCAGCTCACCCAACCTCTCCAGCCCCCTCCACACGGGAGGGAGAGCATGAGCCACCCAGAGCTGCAGAGCCAGGCCCTGCCTCCCGGGAGGCTGCATTTTTAGGATGATTAAGAAGTCTCTGGGCTTCAGCTAATCAGTGTGACTCATACAAGTACTGGGATCTTGGGACCCTCCCTCTCCTCCATGTCCCCAGGAGCATAGGGGACAACCTGCTCCTGGGACCTCAACAACAGCTGTCTGTACCCCCGGGGTTCCCTGGGGTGGGGCAGTGACATAAGCCAGAGTCCGGCCAGGAACTGCTCTCAGGAGTCGTGGAGCCCCCGGCCCCATGGCCCGGTCTGAACTTGTGGCTGCCCTCTGTGAACTTCCTCCAGGGAAGTCAGGCAGCGCTGCTGGTGCACATGCTCAGGAGGCTCCAAGGACTCCAGACAGAGCCGCAGAAAACAGACAACGGGCAGGAGCAGGTTGGGGGCTGCAACTTTCACTGCATTTGGTTGTCACGTGGTTTGCAGAGGAGCTTGGTAAGTGCTTGTGATGTGGCACAGTCCAGAGGACAGTGGTGGCTGGAGGGGCACCCACCGCGTCCACAGGACTGGCAGCAAGGGGGGTCTTCAGGCCCACCCCAACTTTAGAACTCAGATGGGAACTGTAACAGACCCCAGAGCTGGAAGGAATCGCAGAACCAGGCTTGCGTCTCCTCACTGGGGAAGTGGAGAAAGGTCTCTGAGGGCCCTGCGCGCTCTCCCAGTGATTCCTCAGTGCCGCACAGGAGCCACGCCTGCTGCACTTCCAGTCCATTTACTTTAAGATTACAGGAGTTAAATGTTTTCCAAACCTCACTAAAGGAGTGCGTTCTGACAAAGAAACCCCGTATAAAGCTGGCGAAGTTCTAGCTCTTTGCTGAGATGTCACCTTCTCAGGCGGACCCTGACTGCTCTGCTACCTTGAAGCAGAAGGCAGCAGAAGCGCCGGCCCCACCACACAGCACTAAGCTGCTTACTGGCCTTACTATTTATTCCCTGAATACTATCACCACCCAAACTATCATGTCTATTTACTATTTATTCCCTGAATACTATCACCACCCAAACTATCATGTCTATTTACTATTTATTCCCTGAATACTATCACCACCCAAACTATCATGTCTATTTGACCACCTGTTACCCATCTCCTCCCTGAGACGCTGCAGCTGCTCACTGTGTCAGCCTTAGGTGTGACGGACACTTACGGCGTTAGTAGCCTTAGGTGTGATGTGCAGACCTCACAGCCTCATACTGGTTGCTGGGTGCACCGCAGTGTGACAGCGTGACATGGACACGAGGCTTTCTTCTAAGGGGAGGCCAGGGTGACAGCAGGAGCCACCGCAGCTGTCTGGGCCTCTGGAGCCCCAGTGCCTTTCCTCCTTGTGAAGCTCTAAGCTCCACCTGGGCACCAGCACCTGGGGCTCCACTGAGGATGACTCCAAGCTCATGGCCAAAGACAGGCAAGGCCGTTCCACCCAAAACAGAAGAGAAGGTTAAAACAGCTCCAAATTCCGCTGTGTTCTCTGTTCTCTCTTGCCATTTCCTTCTCCAATTTGGGGAGGCTGTAACTACATGTGCTTATAATTTCTGGGCTCTGGTCCCAGTCCATGGCCAGGAAAATTTCAAGAGTCCTGAAAGAAGACCTCCCCCTGCATCCCATTTGGCTCCCAAACGCTGGTTCTTCCCTTTCATGAACAGTTCAATTCTATTTGAATATCCTTCAAGGAAAGTTGCCTCACTCTCACTGCACGTAAGGAGTGACAACATGGCTCATGCTCTCCTGTTCTCACTCTGTCTGGGAAACTGACTATTTTCAATGGTGATTCTGTATTCTGGGCTCTCTGGCACATGGCTGGACCATCAGCAAAACTCCAGTGATGCAGACAGAGCCTGTGGCCAGACTCAACACCATCTGTCAGCAAGAGGCGGAGCAAATGAAAACACCAGTAACACCCTGTCCCCCTCCGACCACCCCTCTCCTGATGGCCTTGCTTATGCCACAGCGACAGCATGCACATGGCCTGTACCTGCTCTCAGCTTGCTGTCCTCACAGCAGGCTGGTCTTGCAGGATCGTGTGCAGTAACTCCCTCTCTTGTCCATGTGTCCACAGTTCTCTGCATTAGAACTTAGCCTCCTGAGGGGCACAGGCCTGTTTTTTCATTTTCCTATCTTGCACACAGCAGACACAACACATGTTTGTCTAGAGAATAAAGTGCTTATTTACATTTCTAACCTAGTCACTGATTTCTCTTTAGCACTAAGAAGTCCAAGTAGATAAATGAAAAATCCTTGAAGGGCCTCTGGGAGTGCAGGCCCTGGCCTTTGAGGATTTGGAAGGACGGCATCACTCCTGCTCGTCTTCTGTTCTTTCCATGCTTGGAAAACGAGCTGGGGAAGAAAGCCCTGTCTGCCGAATGGAGACAGCCACGTGAGCCTCTGCCAGTGAATGGTATGTGCCTTTCATCTGGCCTTTTTGACAGACTTGTTCTAGTTTAAAAATGTTTATATTAGCTCATCAGCACCACTGTTTCCAACTCTAATTTACTTTTGCCTAAGATTACACAGCTTGGATTATAGGGCATCTTGGAAAGGACTTGATTCAAGAGGCTAGAATGAGCTGAAATAGTAGATCTGCACTGAGCTGGTCTAACTTTAGATGGGCTGGGAGACGGGACTCTCCCGCGGGCAGGAATAATGGGCGCCATTATCCATACTCCTTCCTCACCTGCTCCCCACAGGCTCCGAGGAAGGAGTCTGGCCCATGGCCCAAGCTTAGCTCAGAACAAATGATTCATCCACGGGAGACATTACATATTCTTTTTTTTTTTTTTTTTGGAGACAGTCTTGCTCTGTTGCCCAGGCCACAGTGCAGTGGCATGATCTTGGCTCACTGCAACCTCCACTTCCCAGGTTCAAGTGCCTCAGCCTCCCTAGTAGCTGAGATTACAGGCGCCCACCACCATGCCTGGCTAATTTTTGTATTTTTAGTAGAGACGGGGTTTCACCTTGTTGGCTGGGCTGGTCTCAAACTTCTGGCATCAAGTGATCCACCTGCCTCAGCTTCCCAAAGTGCTGGGATGACAGGCGTGAAGCACTGCGCCTGGCCCATTACATATTCTTATTCGGATCTTACAGGGCTTTTATAAGCCGTACTTCCAAAGGAGGGCAATTGTTCATCCTTCTAGTAGCCATTGCTGAAGGGTCTGTGAGAAATGATTTGGAAACAAAATTAGGTGAGCAGATACAAATGAAACCCAGGATCTCTGTCACTGGAACCCATGCAACTGCTTCACAATGGATGTCTTCTCTGTGGCCTACATAAATTCTTAAGGGGAAAAAAAGCCCTTCCTTAGGTCCCAGGCCAGTATCCTTTGCCAACTTCTCTACCAACTGAAATCGCCAAGTCGAAGGTCTTCTCTCACCACGCTTGATTTTCCTGGAGCATCTGACAGAAGTGGCTGGCGCCCCTGCTCCTCCAGCTCCCGCTCCACTCTCTGGGGGCTGCTCTTTCTCTGTTGACTCTTGGCTCTCAGATGTGCTCGGCGAGTGGCCTCTCTTCCAGTTTCATGAACTTCCTCAACGGTCAGTTTATGCTGAGGGCCAGGTCCATGTTTCAAGCCATGCCCTCTCTTATGTGCTTCAGAATTTCCAGTTACCTCATCCTAGACACCTCCAGTTGAACACCCTACCAGCCTGACAATGGAGAGCCCCGCACACTGTTATGGAAGAGGGAGGTGCTCTCAGCAGGGTCCGTGTGAACAGTGCCCTCTGGAGTTGTAAGGCAGTGCTGGGCACCATGGTAACGGAGAGGTTCCTATGCAACCAAGTAAGTAAGGCTTTGGGATCTGTACTTAAAAGTTAATTATGGGTACACAAAGACGAAACAAGGACTTACGAAATTCTGGACTTCATAGACCCTAGACTAGATCTAAAATATAGTCTTATAGCTTAAAAATGGTATTCCCTGTAGCAAAAAAAATCTCTCTTAAAAAGCAAACTTTTAGAATTCACAAGTATTTTAAAATAACATTTTATCTATCACGAAATGTTAACTAATAAAGGCCATTTAAGAGACAATTACCATTTCCTAACACTATCATTTAAAAAGGGTACTTACGCGCACACACACACGACATGTAATTTCAAAATAAAGGACAAACAAAAGTAGCTACAAGAAAAGCAGCTAGTACATTGTCTGGGTTTTTAAATATCATCACAGATTCATGTGCAGTATCACACACGAATACTCATCCACGGATCTCTAGATGTGGGAGCCTCTGGTTTCGTTTCTGGCTACGAGGTTAGGATATGGTTCCCCCAAGCATGAAACATTAGTCTCCTAAGATTCCGTGAAAAAAGGATGACCTGGTTTCAAATAAGCTTGAGGAACACTGTGTACCAGAGCCCCTCCTCTTAAATATTCATGATGTTCATACGGTAATAAAGGCTCCGAGAATCTCTGGGTAAAGAAATTTGTTTCACTGACCTTGGAAGGATTTGTGTACTTCACCTGCGATCACCCCTGAGAACTATTATTATTTGGCTACACTCGAATATGAAGTATTTGGGTTAACATATGAAATACGTTGGGTTAGAGGAAGAGTAGACACAATTTTAGCTTACTGATGCTGATGTCCTGAAGCACGGAGCGCTCTCTCTCAACTTTCCTATCCCTACCATCAGAGAAAGAGCCGTGAATGGCCTGGTGGCTGCTGGGCTATGACTGGCTGCTCTGAGAATCGTCTGTAAGCTTCTGACACTCTCATGCCCGTTACTCATCTCTCTACTGTCTGCTGAGACCTCTCCTTTGCGAACACAGAAGGGGTCTTCTGACTCGGACCAGAGCTCATCCAAAAGGGCCAGCCTCCTGTGTGATGAGAACTTCAAACGTGAAGTCCACACCCAGCAGTCCCCCCAGATCTTGAAGGTGACCTGACCCACCAACCGAGACTTCAGGTCAACAGGGCGACTCACCTGTATAAAATAAACCCTAGCACTTTTTACAAATCTTATTCAATGCTCTCTTTCTTCTTCACTGACAGGGCATGGACCTGCGCAAGACCAGCTCTAGTGAGGGGTCTGAAACATTTCTCCACGTAGGTGGACTCTAAGTCGACCAGGGGCCTGTTCTTTCCACAGAACGCCTCTCCAGGAGAGTCTATCTAAATGGCTTCAAATGATCTAACAAAGGCACATGGACTCAGTATTAAGGTGGAAAAAGAAAAGGAACGCTAGTTTAGTTTGGAAGTATTTTTGTCTTCGAATAGAAGGTCTCCAAGGAAAGGCCCACGACACTACTGTAAAATCAGGTACACAGGTTTGCCATGATCTCTTCAGCATTTCTAACAGGACGAGGATCAGGCCCCTCCCTCTTCTCATTTTCCTTCCTATTTCGTGAGGGAACTATGTAAACCAAGAGAAGGCTGATGGTGGAACTATAACATTGTAAAAACTGAACTCGAAGTATTAGACTCTCCCAATTCACATAGTAAATTAGAGTTTAGAAGAACAGTGCCTTGTACTTCACAGAAATTCAGAATTTCTGAATTACAGAAGGCATTTGGTACTCTGTAGAAATGGAGAAAAGGCATTTAGTAGTTCTCTGAAGCAAAGTTAGGCCTACAATGGCACAAAAATGCCCATTTAGGATACCGCTTCCTTCATGATGAAAAGCTTAAAGGAAAGCCTGCCGGAACTGTGCACTGCACCTTTGGTAGGAAAACGAGGTCCTTCAGAACGACGAGAACTTTGGACATGAGGTAATGCAGGGAAACTCGTTCTAATAAATCTCCCATAATCAGCTACTGTGTAAACGAGTGGATGACTCCTCCTGTAGATTAAGGTTTTGGTTTAATGCTGGCAGCAGGTGAACTACAATTACGTAATAAAACGTTCTGAGAGCTGTTCCACAGAAACTAGCACTGGCTGCTCATTTCTAAGTGGGGAGGCCAGGTACTGGTTTCGTAAGTTAGACTCAAACAGACTAGCACCCATACCT